GGGGGGGGGGGGGGGGGGGGGGGGGGGGGGGGGGGGGGGGGGGGGGGGGGGGGGGGGGGGGGGGGGGGGGGGGGGGGGGGGGGGGGGGGGGATGAGGGGCAACATTTGATATACACGCCATACAGACACACACGACAACGTGGAAGTGCTGTCGATGAACCAGACCTAGTTTGGAGGGGACGGAGGGAGCCAATCGAGCGACTTGGGGCCAGGACGTGATCGTCACATCATCGTTGTTTTCGACTCTCCGTTTTGTCACACACGCACAATTAACGCACCTTGAGTGCAACCAAAAGACTGACAACCTCTAGCGAGTAGTAACCCCTGTCCACGTAGTCACCCATGAAGAGGTAGTTCGTCGAAGGGCAGTCTCCCCCGATCCGAAACAGCTCCCTGCCAAACCAAAAAAGAAAAGAACGCACACACGATGAGATTGATTTCCACTCTGGTCGACGCTGACTGACACACAACACAAACAAGCAACGTGAACATCAGCAGTAACGAATCAATCCGCAGGACAAGAATGCGAAAGAGAGAGAGAAAGCTAGATTTAGCCGCCACCGCCGCCGCAAAACACACACGAGCACTTTGACGCACGCTAAATGCCCGCCCCAACAGCGCCACGAAACAACTCCAATCCCTCCACGCCGTGAGCGCGAGGGAAAACCGAAAGCTCCACTCACAGCAAGTCATAGAACTGTCCGTGAATATCCCCGCAGATTGTTACCGGGCATCGCACCGGCTGTACGTTTGATTCCGAGCCTAAGATCTCCCTCGCCTGGGGGGGAAAATACGAAGGAAGGGGGCGGGGGTAGGACACAAATGAGTCAGACAGGACACGATTGTGGGGCCGGGTGCGTGCCCACGGTCTATTAAGCGTGCCGTGGTCTGTTTGTCGGTGAGAAATTTCAGTCTCAAGTACGTCACCATGCTTTCCCGGCGGTGGCTCCAACACACCATTTTCAAGTTACTGCACACCAGAGGCAGATGAGAGGTAACGGTATAAGGATACGCCGTCAATATTATCGAACACTTTCGCCAGAAGAAAGAGAGACAGATAGAGAGAGAGAGAGAGAGAGAGAGAGAGAGAGAGAGAGAGAGAGAGAGAGAGAGAGAGAGAGAAAAAGGGAGAGACAAAACGCACACGAGCGCTGTCTCCGGATGATGGCACTTGAGAGAAGAAAGTTCATGGTACACGCTTGCAGGACAGGTCAAGAACAGGGCAACAGCCTACTGCAACTGCCACGTTTCCTGCTAAAACTCGGACGTTGAAATTCTGCCGGCGTGATCCCTCCCCGAGAAAGAGGAGCGACAGCAGTCCCCAGTCCCATCTCCAGAGTCCCATCTCCAGAGTCATGCATGGGAGTATGATTCATGAATGGGAGTATGCACTACGGAGTCCCCCCTACCCCGCCGAGCCCATGAGTGACATGCTCCGCCAATGATAAGAACGCATGCAACGTTGTTTTGTCCAGCAAAGACCAGCGTCAGGTCATTGGCCAGCCCGTACTAGGCAAAAACCTAGGAAATCAGCAGCGGTATGTTCCAGTGAGGGCGTTTTGAGTTTTGTTGCTCAACCGCGGCTGTGGGGGCGACTTTTCCGGTCTCTCCCCGATGACCCTCCCTCGGTAGTTTCATCATTTTTCTTGAATACCGGTAAGGTTGCAAGTCAGCGCACAGGGGTGCGATCGATTTTCAAAGCGCAATTTCTCCACGACCAGGAGGGTGGGAGCGCCAACTAACGCTTCTCAGGAAAGTTATTCATGAAATATTTCCAAAACCGCCCTTTTCGACAGCAGTGGTAACCTCCTGGTTGCGGAGAAATTACGCTTTGAAAATCGTTCGCACCCCGTGTGCGCTGCCTGGCAACCTTACGGTAACCGGGACGAAAGACACTCTTCGGGTCGTCGCATCTTATCATGGCATAGAGTCGCTGGTATACACCGGGAGCATTTTTCATGGTCATCTATCTCTCTTGGCCGGGGAGGGGTGCCTGCTGCAGCGGGTGGGTGCCTTGCTTGGAAACGACGCCCGTTTTTCGGACGACGGCGCGCCCGCGAGGGACCCCGCGGAATCACGCCTTCCCGATTCCCATCGGTACTTCCAACGCATTTCGTCGTAATAAACGATGCCACCATCACGACGTGTGGTGGCCTCGTGCGACTTCATGTCCGAGTACTTCGGTGAAACGATGCATTACGTGGGGGTGTCTAAGCGGAACAAAATTCGAAACTATGATGTAGAGAGTTAACCCATCAGACCCGCCCATCATTTCGTTTGGGCTCAAATATGACCGCCGATCTACTTTTCCACTGAAGGGGCAGCAGTAAGACACACTGAATTTGGAGGGCAGCGTGTACGTTGCTCGTCAGTGCTTCTTGTGCAATGTCGCTTGGAGAGTACGTACGTACCACGCGCATCACGTTTGTGGTTCACGCATGGTATGATACCTCTGCTGCTGCTCCGCTTCACGAGTAAAAGAGAGGTACCTATATTAGGGGTTCTTTTTGCTGAACCAAATGCAGCCCATTTCTGGGAGCTGTTTGGACCCTGTTTGAAATTGCACGAAGGAGCTGAATCGGACAACATCCATGCTCATTGTGTGTGCTTTACAGAGGCAGGTGTGAAGAAATAGAGAGGTAGGTACACACAGAGAGAACAAGCGGAGAGCAAGATGTGCCTCAAAGGACTCCCGAAAAGAGGCGGCAGGAGGATCATTTTTTTGTTGCTGCGCCGGGGGGAGTGGTGATCTCGCAGCCTTTTTGCTCACCGAGCTCATTTTGCTTTCGTCCTAAGGATACATACTACTGCTGTGCACGACTCTCTAGGATATGCAGAGAGGGTGGCGATGAACGCAAGGAACTTCGCGCGTAGGTATGTTCACAGTGCCGTCACACAACAAATAGTGCAACACGCCCTCACATCTGATCCGTCGTCGTAATCAGCAAGCAAGCAAGCGTCTTTCGCTCTCAACTAGCGCGTCTGTCTCGCACAGGTTTCAGAAAAACGCTCCCTCCGTACATACCTTCTGGCAAAGACCCAAAATATCCTTCTCCGGAAGGATGCCCCCCGTTCGCAAAACATCAATCTGCTTGTCCAAGATGGCGAACTCTCCGCTGCCGTTCATGCTTCCCCCCCCCCGTGTGATGTCCGGCTCCTTCCTTGGGTTGCCACAGCAGCAGCAATAGCAACAGCAGCAGCAGCGGCAAAGGGACTTCCCAACGACCGCAGTAGTCCCCCCCGCTAGAGGACACCTGCTACTTCCGCGGGCAGAGCGTCTTGGCAGGTCTCCCCCTCACCGTCAAAATTTGGGCGCAGCGCCGAGCGGAGAGGTCTCCCCTAGAGAGCGCTCGACTTACCTCAGCCCTACAAGGCTTCCTCTCGTCTTATCCGCAGGCGCTTTTTTTTGCAATGTGTGGCCTCTGCCTGCTTGCCAGAGGCCCTCGCTCAGCATAGGGTCCCCGCAGCCTAGAGCACCATAGTAGATGGTATACCATTCACCGAGCCCCTGGGCGGCGTTTCATTCAGCATGTCCGTGCTCTGGGATGTGTGTTGAGCGAACAGAAGGGGAAGACAAAGGGCACCCTGTTCCACCCCCTAGTGTGAGCCGGTCGTGACCAGCGGGGAGAGAGAGAGAGAGAGAGAGAGAGAGAGAGGAGCACGGCTGCAGTCGAAAATACTTTCATCAATGTGTGACTGAAATGTTTCCAATCCCCGACAAGGAGGTCGGGTTCGGTCAAGAGCCGCCGTATCATGGGTCATCCGTCCGCAGATCGTCCACTCCGTCGACTTCGCACCACCTGAGGCGTGGACACCCTCGCAACGGACGCAACAGCAGCGGTGCCAGGAAGGGTGACCCCGACAGCAGGCTGCTTGGCGCTCCCGCTCCAAGCAGCGGTGGCGGCAGCGGCGGCAGCAGACGAAGGAACAACTGCTTTTCATCGATCATCGGCGGCGGGTGGAACATGAAGTATGTTCCCTTCTCCGTCCTGGCTACGTTCCTCGTCGTGCAGCAGCTGCTCTCCCTCGAGAGGGCCACCCCTGTGCCAACGAAACCAGATGAAGCTTCACCTGGCACCCAGCAGCAGCAGCAGCAGCAGCAGCAACCGAGCAGGGGGGGACCGAAACGACGCTTCACCGACGGACATTTGTCCGTCTTGACGGAGACCATCACCACTGGTGTACAGCCCGCGTACCATGACAAGGTAGGCAGCAGGCAGACACATCATTTCTTTCGTCAAGGTTCGGCGTGTGTGTATGATGTGTGACGACACACACACACACGCGCGCGCGTTGTTTGCAGACGTGCGGTAAGGGAGGCTGTCTGTTCGTGCGGAGGTGTTGGCCAACGTGCGTGGTCGTTGCTACATGAAGTATCATACACGGGGGATCGCATATCCGAGAGAAAATACTCTTGTCACGATTCCGAGTGTTTCATACAAATACAAAGGAGAAATTATCATGGGGCAGGAGGGCTACTCCATGGTGTGTGGATCCATCTAACATCCTGGACAACACCGGACACAATTTACTTCTTTGCCGATGAATTCCTTTTCCAGTTGTTCTCCCTCGCTTTCTCGGCTATATTTACGACAGGGCAGAATAGTACTCCGGAGTATTTGGTACTGACAGCTGACAGCTAACAGCAGTACTCACCCGTTAGACTACGAAAAGCTCTATACTAGTTAGTGGATGAAAATTCAAATATCGCGCATTGCGTCTGTTTGGCAGGCTATTCAGATGTCATCGTCTTCTAACTGCAGCCCTTAGAGTACATGTACCTCATGTATGTCACTCGGAAGTTGGCTCGTTGGTTCAATCGTTTTCACCAGGTGCTGTGGGATATTAGCACTTGGAAGAAAATGATGCCTGCTGTACTTGCAGATAGATTAACATTCAGTTCATAGCTAATACTCGAGCAGCAGACCGGACACCAATCTACCACAACGTATGATACGGAAAGGAGGCCTGTCACGTAGCATGCTTGTTGCCAACGTTAATATTGTGCTGTTGGCGTTCCCCCCCGGGCGATACAGCCAACCTACCCCTGTCGGGACATGCAATCAATAACGTAAAGTCCTTGTCTATGTGAGCACCTCTAGACCAGAGTCTTTTTTCTCCCTTTGGCGTGATGCGGCACAAACCAGCATGTACGGGGGCAGCACGAGAGTGCCGCCTAATCTCGTCAGCGTCGTTGCCTGTACTGCCTGCTGAGAGCCACAATGCCCCCGTGCAGTTATTACGGACGAGGCAGAACGTTGTGCAACGCATTACCCACCAAGCACGAGAACATCCTACGAAGCGACATCACCCCTCCGTCCTTACGAGGACGCGTGGTCAATGGTCCAACAACCCAGGCAAGCTCAACATGAGTATCCCCCCGTCCCCGTCCCCCGCCCCCCCCCACCAAGGATGATGGGTTTCGAGAAGACCAAGGAGGGGAAATCAACGGTCATGCCCCGGCGGGTCCATTGACATCTGGATCAACGGCCGAGGACCGAATACCGTCGCCGAGCGCATCGGCACGAGCAGCCGCGGCAGCAGGCGGCGGCGGCGGCGGCGGCGGCGGCGGCGGCGGCGGCGGCGGCGGCGGCGGCGGAGATTACCTAGATAGTGCGGCAGCAACGCTCGCAAGGAGAGATACTGCGACAGGGGGCGGCGGCGGCGGTGGCGGCGGCGGCGGCTTGAGAGACGATAACTTTGTCGCTGCTGCTCCCGCGGGGGCGGCGGCAGCGGCGGCGGCGGTGCCTGGGAGGCGGAAAGCCTCGGTCGTGCTGGGAGTGCCAACGGTACCGAGGCCGAAGGGGGTGAACTACCTCGAGCAGACGCTGCAGGCCGTGCTGGCGCAGGTGGACCAGCAGGTGAGGATGGTTGATCAGTCTCGAAGAATCGGGTGTGGGTCTGAAGAAATCGAGATTTGTCTCGAAGGGGGTAGGGGGCTAGCTGCACACGTGCGAAGCTGGCTGTGGTCGAACGGTTCTTGGCTGCGTGCCGTGCGTGTTTTATAGGTTGCATCGACCGCGCTAACCGGTTGGCGAATGAAAGGACGACAGTCTCGTTGCGTGCAATACTTTTATCAACGATAGCAACAAGCAAGGAACCACCACAATTGTCGCCAACGACAGCAAGAGGCACGGCAGGAGTCCCCTCGTTGCGTTAGCCCCCAAGCATTGACAGGCACCAACCTCAGGAGGGGATGTCGACACCCCCACCACCTCGAATGCTCGTATCGACCGATGGTGGTCGGTGTATTTTAAAACTCGTGGGCGTTATGCTAGTACGACGCGTCTGCTATCCATGGTGGGGTTCTTGGTTGGTTTAGTAACGGCTTCAAGTACGAAGAGAAGCAACGTAGGAGGAAAACAGAAATAGAAAATTATAGTTAGTTTCTCCCGACAGTCTCGAGTTCCATCGGCGCAGGCTATCGAAGAACCGTACGCAGTGGACATGTACAGAGCATCGCTCGAGGTGACTAACCCCAGTAACGCGTCATCTATTGTCGACAAGGTACGTGTGCTAACGGTCTTACACGAGGATTGTCAGGGCTGACCCAGAGGGCATGCTAGATACGCCCGACCGTCGGTACCCGCACCTCAACCCGACCCTTCCATTCGTTTAGTCAACACGTTGTTGTTCAGGCTGATACGCGGGCGGAAACGAGGTGTAGTCGTGCGTTGTGCAAGCTGCTCGAGCGCTGTTTAAAATCCGGTAGCCGCCTTGAAGAGAGGTCAACGCTTGAGTACCTACCTAATCTCGGCATGCGTAGTGACGACAGCGCTAAAGCTGCCGCGATGGGGAGTGTGTGCTACACCGTCTGCACCCAACGAGGCCGAGGCACTACCGCCACAGCCCTTACCCGACTATGTCACTGCAGGAGTGTATAACACGCCTCTTATTCGGGCTCCGGCCGGGATACGCCAGTCTCATGGGCGGCTGCCGCCCGGAGCGCATCAGCTGGAACCAGCCGCCAACGATCTCGACGTTCGGTGCGTCTGCGGCATGCGACAAGACGCACGAGTCCTCCAGGTGGTCTCCCAGTGCAAGGTGAGAAGGAGACGGGGAATGACTGCGGCAGCTCCCACAGCCGCGGTGTCATTCCCCGTCTCCTTCTCACCTGAACCGAGAGACCACCTGAAAGGGTCGTGCAATTTCGTATCGGCTGCAGACGCGCCGAACTTCGATTGTTGGCGGTAGGTTCCAGCTGACGTGATTGTACGGGCGACAGCCACCAGTGCGACTGGCGTATCCTGACCGGACCATGAGGATACATACATCTCAAAACAGTACGGTGTAAGAGAAACCGGATGCAACATTTCGGAGCCGTAGCCTCTCCCACATCTGTATCCACCTCAGACGAATTGTTTCGGGGTGACCCCTCTTCTTTCTCTCCATCCAGGAATCTTCGACCAACGGTACCCCAGAGGGCGGGCTCGCCATCACCATCCTGGTCATGAACGTGCACGGGCCGAGCCACGAGGCCTTCTACAAGGCCCGCGACAAGTACGAGAGGCGACGCGGAGTGATTTTCATTAGCGTGGGGGAGGCGGTAGACGCCGACGGAGCCCCCATCGTTGTCGGGGAGGGCGAGCCGCTGACTCCCAAGGCCCAATCCCGCAAAAAGGTCTTGCCGTTGATGAAGGTGTGTGCGACCTTTAGGGTTAGGGTTAGGGCAAGAGGGGTGGAGACGCGCGGCTCGTGCATGGCCATGAGTGCTTTTGCAACGGTACTGTACCATGTGTGCAGGTTACATCTATCTCTATCGGTAGATTAGGATATAATATTGTAAATTTGTATAATTCTTTTTGTCGTTCTTTCTTGGGTGTGGACCAGAACACCGACCACAATAGCAGCAATAGCAGCAACAGCAACAAAGCCTTTACGTCATGCACTACTCTTTCAGGTCCAAGAACAAACGCGGGACCTTGTGTACCTCCTGAGGGCGGCGGCAGGGCTTGCCGATCACTACCTCTTCATGGAGGACGACATGCTGCTGTGTCCGGGTGGGGCGGCGGCGATCAGTCGCATGGTCAGCAAGGCGCACAGGTGAGATGTAGAGAGAGAGGGAGAATGGGAGACAGAGAGATAGAGCGGGAGAGAGGGAGGGATATATATATATATATATAGAGAGAGAGGCAACTGCCTGCCACGAGCGCATCGTAGAGCAATACTCCGAAACAACTTTGATTTCTACGCCTCTATTTCGCCCTCCACGTGGTATTAGTAAACCCCAGTTATTTTCCACCCCCCATTTCGTGGAGAGGAAAAGGGGGAGTGGGTGGGATAACAAGTTAGCAGGTAGAGATAGCAATGTTGTTGTTCACTCGCACATCTAGCTCGACGCTGTGCACCAACCCCCCTAAACCACCCCTTCTTGCACGGCAGCTACCACCCCGACTGGATCGCGATCCGCGCCTCCTTCGGCATGAACGGCATCTTGATTCAGGATAAGGACGTGTTGACTTTCGCCAGCTACCTGGAAATGCACCAGAAGCGCCGACCGCCTGACCACCTCGTGGTAGGGGGGTGTGACTCAGGATGGGAGGACGGGGTTTGTGGGGGTTTGTTGTGTCATCAGTTGTGGTTTCGTTGTTGGTTGTTGTCGATACTTGTGTTGTTGGCGTGGTCGGAGTGGTCGCCGATTGTTGCATTTTCACTATTGTAAGTAGTTGTAGTAGTAGTAGTAGTAGTAGTAGTAGTAGTAGTAGTAGTAGTAGTAGTAGTAGTAGTAGTAGTAGTAGTTGTGTGTGTTGGAGGAATGGCGGTGGGATACCCGATGTCCGTTGGAGCAACTTTTGGTCACGACGATCGCGTTTTTATCCCTTCCCCATCACCATGACCGCAATACAATGGATGATCTATTAGCCCCCACCGCGCGCCCGAACCCCCCTCCCCCCATAACAATCCTCATCATCTCTAGGTGGAGTGGTTCGCGGGAGAAACTCCAGCCAGGTAAGGAACAAAGCACCATTTGCGTGGACCAACGGTCTTGTGGCCCTTTTCAGGCTTCGAACCTCCTTTTTTTGCTGTGATTACGCCTGCATCTGCTACACGGTACATGCTGTACGTGTTCCCCCGCCTACAACCGTGATCTCGAAACCTTTAAATTATGTTTCTCGCGTCGGGCACCGTTTAAGTGCAGTATTAATGTGGAATTGTTTTTCATGTGGGACGGGAAAAATAAATGTGGAATTGCCGTATAAATGTGGAAACATTTTCTATTGGGACAGGACACACACCTTTCGTTCGTTGGAGGTGATGCAGTCCCCACTCCCAGCAAGGGGACCGGTCTGCCCGTATAATATTGTCCCGAAGAGTGTCGAAACGCTGTCGAACTATTCTTTAACGAAGCGTCGTTCCATCGAGGGAGAGCATGTTCACGGAGGTGGGATAATTGTAGCCCTACGTTGCCTGTGTCAGTAGCCTGACATGTATCGGCACAGTTCGTGTGTGACAAATGAGCGCTGTTTGTAACTCCCGGTGGAATGATACACCGCAGCCATTTCGATGCCCTCACCGTCGGGATGGTTCTCCCCTTTTCAAGGTTGATTTGGTGTTATGGGCCAGCGTACCCCGCAACCTGCAACAGTCGATGGACGTGTGGGGGAGGCGTCCGCAGTCGCAGCTCTCCATTTTTAGTCCATGCTGCATTCAACGCGCATTTCATTTTGTTCGGGCTGCACGTTTCACGCTTCTGTTGGTGGCCTGCCTTGCCCCCCTGTTGTAGTGCGGAGTTCAAGGGCAATAGGCAACACATGGCGTTTAGGTACAACGTGTTCCGGCACCTGGGTTCGGTCAGCACGCTAAGGGGGAAGATCTCGCCGGATTATCCCAAGTGTTTCGAGGAGCTCACCATCCAGACGCTCTTTGAGGTCAGTGCTATTGTTGTCGTTTGTGTAAGGTCAGTGTTGTTGTTGGTGCTGCGGTTGGTTTAACTGGTTGCTGCGGCTGTTGTTGTTCTTGCTTTGGTAGTGTTGCCATGGGTGTGGTGGTTGGCGGCTGCTCGCCTGTTTGCTCGCGCTCTGGAGGGGCCATGAATGACGGCCTTGTCGCCGTTGCGAGGATCGGAAAGCCAGCAATTGAAGCAAAACGCGGCTAAGCAGCTCCTGGTTGGTAGCGGTGCCCTCGCACGACAGCACTAGTGTGTGAGATGTACAACATACCAACTATTCAGCGCTAACTTAGCGCTGACTTGTGGCATAGTGGATATGCCGTGCATCAAACCCTCCCGAGGGGACGACACCCGCCTTGAACGGTCGGCTGGAACGCAGTCGAACCCGCGACACGGAATACCAGTCCCAGTTGCCGCAGGAAGACCGCCTTGCTCAGGCCCTCGCGCGGGCATTGCGACGGGTGAGCATGGATCCCCGCGTCGAGATGTATTGAACACTCAGCCCCTAATGTCTAATTGTGTCTTTAGGGTTTAAGTGTTCCACACATTTCGACGCCGGTTCCATGCTGACCCGTCGCAATGCCCGCGCGAGGGCCAGCAAGGCGATCTTCCCTCGGCGATTTGGGCTGGTGGTTGTGTCGTGGGCTGGACTCCGTTCCAGCCGACCGTTCAAGCCGGGTGTCGCCACCTTTGGAGGGCTTGTCCCCGCCCTGTGTTACTGCACGCTCTGTTGCTGCTTCTTCGTAGACTCCGTAAACCTTCTCCCACTCCCTTGCCCAGTTCGCGTTGATGTGTTCATGTATCACCCTGCGGTTCTCTTTGGTGAAAGTTCATTTTATCTTCATCTGTTTTTGTCTGTCTAGCCGAACCCTTATTGATTTAGAGCTAGACTCACCTCGGGATCCCGTATGACATCACGCTAGCGTGTGTGGATTATCCGAACTGGGCGTATGTAGCTTGTCGTGTAGACGTGCCTTGAGGAGGGTGTCGGCAACTCGGGCGGGTTCGCGCCAAGGAGAATTATTTGGTGGTGTAATAAGCTCATGTCATCTCTCCCGCACGCCCCAGTGCGGGGGTACCTACCGCACAATTTCCCGGTATTCCGCTCTATCCCTGTGCATGGGCATATACCGTACCATCTACTTGGCATCGCTAGAAGTGTCGCTTCCATGGTGGCGCATTTTTACCACGGACTGCCACATTTCTCTTGAAGCTCACCGCTTACCTTCCCGCCAGCCCCCGATCCCTTCGCTCTGTACGCTGCTCTCGTACTAGTCTCTCATTCTGGCCTATCACTACCGCTTCTTGCAGCTACACACCTTCGCAATGGGTGCTGCCATCATTTGCTTGCGGTTATTTTGTCTACTGTGTGAAGAATGATGACTAAATATTTTTCGCGACGGAAGGACCACCGAAACCTTTTGGTGCATACGGCGGTGCCCCCTCGTCCACCTCGTCGTTGAGCGACACACACACGCGAAGTTGCTACCGAATCTGTCTTTGATCCGGATAGTAGCTGAGCTTCGCCCATTACGCCCCGGGGTCCCACCCAGACCATGGAAGCAGTTAATGCCTCACTGAGACTGACATCTGTTCATTGTTCAGCCTGTTACCACGGTCCATGCTAGAAGTGTGACGACGCTTGTTGAAGAATTTTCTGTTTGCAGTCGCTCTAGGACTATATAGCGTCTCCTCATTGGTCAGCCGGTTAGCGCGGTCGATGCTTAGAATATAAACATACATCAGCCGCACTGAGACTGAAGTCTTTTCATTCGGTCAGCCGCTTAGCGTGGTCGATGCTACAAACATGAACCACACGCACAAAAAATATTTTTCGAAATTTCATCTTCAACTGAGACTGATGTCTGTTCATTGGCCAGCCGGTTATCGCGGTCGATTCTAACTCTACAGACACGCACGGAATAAAACACGCAGGTAGAAGCGTTCGACTTCAAGGGCTGCCCCGACGACGACATGTCGCCCTGCGACGTCCCCGCTAGCGCCAAGTCGGGTTTCCCGAAGATAATGTGGCGGGACCTATACGCGGAGGAGGGGCGGCAGAGGAGTTTGTGAGATGGAGACGCATTCTCGGGAGCAGGTCACAGCAGGTGTACTGCTACTGTTTCTCTGCCGGTGTGGAGGGAGAAGCGCGGACAAGGGAAGGAAGGGCTGGTACCATAGGCCGGAGGAGGTGGGGCACTCGACTGGCAGGAGCAGAGGCGTAAGGCAGCAGCAGAAGAGAAACATGGAAAAGTCCACCCGCTTAGGCCTTGCTGGCGAAGGCGGGATCGGGCGCGGGGCGAGTGTCGATACATCCACACGGCTCTCGGAGGGGGGGGTGTTCCTGCCGAAGAAGGGGGGCACCTTGTGAGTGGTGAGAGTCTATTCGCACAGCTTGCACGTGCGGGACTTGTGCTTGTGCATGCGTTTCGGCGGCCGCACCACAAGCGCCTGTTCGGCGTGGCTTGGTCGTGTTTCTGCGGCCAAGATTCGATGAGAGTGTTCGGGGGAGAGGGGCACGCTTTTTTGGTGGTTTGGCACACATGCAAGTGGAGGGGCGTGTGTGTGAGTATTTTTTTTTTCTATTCATGACCCAGTCGCGCACGGAGCTTTAGAGGTTACCGCAGGCTCCCGCGACTACGGTACATGCCCACCGCCACACAGCTCCTTGAGAGCCTTGTTTGACCACGGGCCCGTCTGTGTTTCAAGTACCTGGCCCCGCACACCGGCGCTGATGTATGTAGCACACACGTCGTCGGTTGTATGCCCTTTTTCCTCTGGCAGGGGCATGGAAGCCACCCGTATTTCTCTTCAGGGCTATCCTTCTTTGTGTTTGTGGGTTATGGCAGGGAGGGCTTGCGATGCTATCGTTGGCCTCGGCGTGACGAGAAAACGTCGGTTTCGTTTCCTGATGCCGGTGCCCCGCCCCCGGGTCTTCGCTGTCAAGCAGCAGTTTTGAGTGGATGGTTGTGGCATAAGAGCAATCGGGGAGGGCGTTTGAAGCTACCGCTGTGTTTGGGCTTTGGTTCGAATCCTTTGTTGAAATGTCCTGCTTGCATGTTGTGGTGTAGTTTCGATCTGTTCATATATGTGGCGCACATGAGTGTGTGTGTTCTGTTTGTTTCTGCCCTCCGCAGTGTGGTCTTATGGGTTTCATTTTGGGCGTGTCTGCTTTAGCAGACACGCAGACTGGCCGCTTCTATATTCTCTGTTACCTGTTCCGTGTCGAGGGAGAGAGCCGGCCATTGGATCAGAGGACGACGGGTGCCCTTGATTTGTCTTTGTCGTATGCCTCTTTTAGGTGTTGAGAGAGGGAAACGGACGGAGAGAGAAAGAGACAAGAAAATGAGGCAGAGAGACATGAGGAGGATGGAGAGAGACAAGAGAGAGATAACGAGAGATAGAACGAGAGAGAGAGGGAGACAAGGAGAGCGGACGCGTGTTCTCCTGTTTCAGGTTTCTTGCTGTTGAGTCGCCTGCTGGTATCTTGCTGGGTGAGGTTTGTCCTCAATCCTCCTGTCCTCGCTTTCGCAACGTGTTCCTTAGTTATCGAAAAGCTAGCTTTCAACCCGCAAGGTTTGTTGTTAGTCCGAACGACCGGCAGTACGCGGTCTGGTTGCCGAAAGCGTCCAATCACGACGATTTCGCCCGAAGCGGTGGTTGCAGAGACTCCTGCCGCGCGTACGCAACGGCGAAAGGGCCAGGCCGGAATGTCGGAGCCGAGTTTTACGATTTGTTGTTATGGTGTTGATTGATATCTATTTTTTGTGTGCAGAGAGAAACTATATCATTGCGAGTGCTTCAGGTAGAGTCCTTGGATCTATTGTTGCGTACCCATCTTCTTTTGACATGTAATCTATCCCGTGTATTTCAGAGGAAATAGGGCTGACGACAAAGAAGGGTGCTTTTCGTTTCGAAGCAGGCGGGCGGGCGGGGGAAGGGGGGGGTCGTTACTTCTTGTTGCCGTCACCCCCTCCCCCCCCCCAAGGGGTGCGGTGGCTGGGGCAAGAGCCTTTTGTTATCCACCACCCCCTCTTGCACTTTGCCCCATTAAAGGTTGAATTATTTATTCGCCAGCGTCGTGTGTCATTAGTGTTGTGTTTATGCTTTCATGGTGCTCGTCCTGTGCGGTGTTTCGTTATTTGGTCTTGCTCTGGGTTTACTTTTTGTTTCGCGGCAACCACGCCATGCCACGTAGTTGGTGCGGGTCTGTCAGCCAGCCAGCGTGGGAAGTTGTCGAAAAAAACAAAACTCTGCGTCGCCTGTTTCGCCGGAATGCTTGAGATGCCGCGAGATTTGGAGAGCGGCGCAGCTAGAGGCCGTCGCGTCGACGTAGGACGCACGGCTAACGGGAACAACGGACATGCAAGGGGCAGTCGGATGCCGTTTAGTATACAACGGGAAGATGCTGGATTGCTGGGTTTGAACTCTGGAATGGGAGTTTTGCGTGCATTAACTTTAGCTCCCAGGGTGATGTCGCGACTAGGAGTCACCTGATTTCTTCTGTTGGCACCTACTTGCATACGTATCTCCGTTCTTGTGGTTGTCCTGTTTTTTTTTTTTGTTGCTGCGTGTGTATGTCAGCCGAAAAGGTACGGTATTTTTTTTTTGCATAGTTTGTGGTTGAGATTAGTCAAAGTTCTGCATATGAAACTGTCTTTTTAGGAAGCAGTGTTGCATGTCGGTTCGAAAGTTTGGATGTATCGTCCGAAATATCGGTTCGGATATCGGGTCGAAAATGAGTCTATATTTCGAACAATATCGAAATTATCTCGATATCGGTTCGAACATCGATATTTCGATACAATATCGATATTGCCATGTTCAGACGCGGTTGCTGCAGGCCACACACGACAACTAGGTTCGGGGATAAAGTGGATCCCTGAGGTTGGAAGGGTAAGCGGTCAACAGCCTACAAGCTTAGGTTTTCCTTTCTGAACTTCGAACCGAGCAAGGGGCAGCGCCCAGTGCCCAATCTTGGAACGTTTTTTCGTTTTGAATGGGGGGCTCTACGTTGTTCTGCTGGTGTCTTGCTGTCGCTTTCTCTGGGTTATTGCTCCATACCCTGTTGGGTTGGCTATTGAATGAGTTCATTTGCCTTTGAAGAGAACCGCAGTGGAGGCAATGAATTTAAGTTTGAAGAGCGAAGAAAGAAGAGACATCACGCAATATACGATGTCCCAGGAACTATATGTCGACATGATCTGCTGTACTTCCAAGCTGAGAAACGGGTATTGCATCATTTGCGGGGGCCATGCACATGCATTCATACATTGTACGAGCTGGAACGAGGACATAAGCACAAATGGTAGGTGCCTGTGAAAACAAGCCGGCTTTTGATGCCGCCTGCCGTCTGAATGGTGGTTGTGATGCCTATAGTCGAAGCCATGTCGAAAACGTATCGAAACATCGATGTTCGAACCGATATCGCTAACGATAAATATCGATATCGGTTCGACCATCGAACGCCCCGTGGCCATATCGTCTGAAACGGATTTTCGCTTGGCTATGCAACACTACTGGCAATGCTCGGCTGTAGTCTCACACGTGCTCTGAGCCTGATATCTGGTGTCTCACGGGAGGTAAACACGTCTCCTTATGATTTCTGTAATCATTTGCAATTCTTGTGACCACGGAAGGCGTCCGCGTCAGTTGGACCAGTACGGACATTAGAAGGTACTGAACTGAGCGGAGAGAACGTTTTTTTCGTGAAAACAACAATTTGAGTCCGTTCTGGCGCATCATGTGCAGACTATATAGTCTAGGATATGGGCGCCGATGTGGATTCAATCGCCGAGACGACTCATTCCAATATTTCATTCACTCTCGCGAGTCAAGCTGCTTCCGTCACACACATACACACCACTACCACAACAGGGTCCCAGATCATGGCCTTTCGAAGAGTGTGCCGCTTTCAGCCGCACCGAAGTTGACGTCTGTTCAATCTGCTAGCTAGCGCTGTGTCTAGTTTCGGCTTCGGTGGAATTGGATTTGGTTGACTTTTTTTTCTGCACCACATCAAGACCTCTGTACCTACAGTAGGCTACCCCGTAGCAACCCCCACGATACGCGGCACGAGTAAATGTACGCTTGCCAACTCCTTTCCCCAACCCGATCTCTGTCTGCAACAAATATTTCTGGAGGTCGACCTCTGGCCGCCCGAAAATTGCTAGCATATGTTTCCACACGACGCCCCCACCAGCTGTCGGGAAGGACGATCTGATCCAGCGGAGGCTACCTCACCGAGGGATGCTACAATAGGGGGTACCCCGTCGGTCACATGGAGTGTTTTGGCGGACTTGTGTGTACTGCCTCAACCAGTGGAAAAAATGCTCATTGTTTTGCACACCGCGAGATATACGCTATTAGGCGGCTTCCGGGGCAGAATTGATTTCCTTGAAATGCAAACATTGAGGGAGTTACGAGCATTTATATGGACCTTGTCGGGCGACAGCATGTGACCCATGTCGTAACAAGTGTCCCCCCTACCGTAGCACTGCTGCACCGTACGAATGGTTCGGAAGCAAGTCGAGCCGAGGGCTTGCTCGACGGTTGTTGCAGCTTTGGGGCAGTGTTATCCTGCACCGCATTGCGGGCAACACTCGATCGTCTCTCGTCTGCAGACAATCTCATCTCACAACCCAAGTTTGGGCATGATGCCCAATGGAAGAGCAGACTGGCCACAGCCTTGTTGGGAGTTTTTTCTTCAGTTCGCCGGATGCCGGTCTCACGACCTACTTAGGTTTGGGCATGGTGCGCGATGGGGGCGGCAGGCCACAGCAGCCTTGATGGTGTATTTGTTTCTTGTTATTCTTTTTCCTTCAGTTCACCTCGTGGTATTTCGGTAGTTTTCGAAACCAGAAAAAAAAACAAGATCGGCCGTCGCTACCGGGGCTCGTTCAAGAAAACATCGGGGGCAGCAGACGGCGAGAAAAGCGCATGGATAAAACAGATAGTAACCCCGAACCTTGTTCTTTTTCCTAACGACCAAAACAGCAGTGGCAGGGTTGTTTCGGCCCTGCATCCCGTTGAGGTCAAAATGCCTCTCTTTCGTCTTTCGTCCAAACAAAAAGAATACCAACTGTCGATTCACTCCACAGGAAAGGAATTCACTCTGTCCTGACCGCACCCCGACACCATTCATTTTTGCAACACACGAAAAGCGTGTGTATGGACTGGTGCAAGACTAATTGTGACGATTACAAACCTTTCCTGCATGTGCAAGAGGAAACGAGAAAAAGACACAAGACCATATCAGGATGACGCCTCTGCGGGAACGAGCAAACCCAGGGCTTCCGCCCCCACGGACCCTGCTGTGCCAGACGTTGACGAGGTAGAATATTCGCCCAGAGCTTGCCCGCTTGCCTTGTCCTCCACCGACACGCCGCCCCCGTCATTGGTCGCTCCGAAACGACACCTCGCCCAAGAGTCCGTGATTACCTGATCGGGTCCGGTGCAGAGCGTTTATTGAGACAGCTGGAAACAGCATGTCTGAGGGGAGCTTCGCAGTCGACGGATGTGACGCTGCTGGTGGTGGTGGTATTGCTGCTGCCTTTGCACGGCTTGACTGAGGGGAGCGCTGCCGTCAACGGCTGTGCAGTTAGTAGCGCTGCCGGTGTGCGAGTGCTCCTGCTTATGGCACTGCTACAACTATTGGTGCGCGAGAGCTCCTGCTAGTAGCGCTGCAATAAGTATTGCTGTGCGAGTGCTCCTGCAAATAGCGCTGCTGCAACTATTGGTGTGCAAGAGCTCCTGCAAATAGCGCTCCGCGATTAATGATCAGTGCCAGCGCTCCTGCTGCTGACACTGGACCACGTGGCGTCCTCCCTCAAGCGCCTCACCTTGAGGTGGTCAAACGCCATGCTCGGAAGACGCTCAACCGGGAAGAAACGTGCCTCCGCCGCATCGTCTCCGGCGCGAGCGTTACACGCGGCCTTCGACGGCGCCCAAGCCATGAACGCCACGGTGATGGTGTGCCCCCGAGGATCTCGCCCGGGATCGCCTGGCTCCGTCGCCACAAAGATGATGCCGTGCATCACGTTTACGTGTGTGTGATACGCTGCAAGCGATAACTGCGAAATGTATGTTCTTATACCCTAAGTTGGTGGAATGTCTGTAATCACTTCGGGGTCTGTGATGCTTTAAGAAGTTTAGACCCGTTGATAGATTCAGAGGGTTGGGAGAAGGAGTGTCCCGCGTGCAGCCGAGTTGACGTGGGGGGGGATCCGTAAATCATTCCCTGGTCGCCCTGCCCAACCATGTATACCTACCCATGTGGGGGAAACCTGAAACAACCATCTCGTCAACAGATCAAACTTGGGTTCACGAGAAAGACAAGGGTGAGGCCGTAATCCGCGAGCTCCTGGGTGTGTGTCCTGTAATCTTGCATCGACTGCGCAATAACCAACTGAACAATGACATGCGTTGAACCTACAAAAATTGTGCCTTGGAAAGCAGGAAAATCGCGCGAGTGCATATGGTTAGAGGTGGTACCGCAGGAGTTTAAAAGTAAATACAGCGGTGTAGGCAGACAAAGTGGGAGCAGTGAGAGAGAGAGAGAGAGAGAGAGAGAGAGAGAGAGAGAGAGA